GGTTGGCTCCCCCAAAATATTTACTACAACAAACTCTAGAAAGGAGTTAAAGCTTTGAATTTAGCTAGAGCTCATGTGATCTCCCTAGTGTAAAATTAAGCATAGTCCTCTATAATTAATACATTGTGGCTTAAAGACAAGATCCTATGCAGAACTATTCTCATGTATAATGATGACAGCTACCACAAAACAGGCAGAATTAGTCTCCTTTTCCTTAGTTTAACCATATAATGATTTTGTTGGCAGAAACATTAACGTTTGCCCTTTTATTTAAGACAATAATCATTTTCTGTTAAACTAAGAACTACCAGAAAATTCTGTTGCAAATGCTTAAACTGATGTTTCATTTGCTTCAACTCCTCTTTTTTCTCAACACATAGGAGATACCGTCTGTCAGTGAAATGTCATTGGTTTTATAACTGAAAGGTGGCATGGCTGCTTATTTGCTATATGCTCATTGAATAAGTTCCATGGTAAATAGAGCTCTAAATCAGGGTTAATTCAGTAATGATTAATTCAGTAATCTCTGTAGAACATAGGTGAGCTGGAAGTTCTTCAATTTGTAAAAAGACAGTCTTTGCCTTGAGGAGGTTACAATATCAGCTGGGAAACAGACACGCAGACACCTAACTAAGCCGTTTAAAGGAATGTAAGTAATATAGGAAATCAAATATGAGCAAAGTCCTTAATTCGACTATTAAACTAAACAGCTTATGAAGAATAAACAGTACTTTAATATGCAGTTTGGGAGCAGTCCGGGGAGTTGATTTGTAAGCACGGTTAATGGTTCTTTAATGGTAATTGTATCTGCATTTCCAAAATTCCATGGATATATTTAGTGATGTAATACCAAAGATGAAGAGAAAACTAAGCTAAATAGGCAACAGGGAAACAATAATAAGCAAGTTAAGTTTTAGGATTCCATTTCTATTTCAGTTCACTCAAATTGTTGTCAAGCAGTATTATTTGTTTCTCTTGGAAGACCCACATTTAGCCTACAGCACCCCCATGAAATAGGTGATTAAAACGTTCATCCTGGATAACAGTAGTGCTATTAATCTGCAACCAGTTATTTCACATACCTTACAGAAGCCCACACTTACTAAACTGATCCATAATTCTTAAATCACAATTCATCCCAGAAGATTTTGGTGCCTACTTTTTTAACACAATCTTATAAATGATCTTTCACAAAGGATGTAAAAATCAACACATATCTTTAATGGGCTAATTGTGCCTCACTGTGGTATTGAGTCTTTAAAAGCTTTTTAATAGAGAAATGATGACATTTTCATCTTAATTTGCAAATATAATTTCCATTCTAAATATCTTTTTGTTTCTAGCTTAAGTGCTTATTGACAGCAGAAATGTCCCCAAAACACTAATAGAGTATTTAACATAACTTCATTTATTGAAAGAAAATCCAAGGGAAAATAACATACAGCTATCTGAAGCTATTTAGCAGAAGGAAAATATCAAAAGGAAAAGTACGTTAAATCTAAACTTTGAGATCTAATATGTAACTAATATTTGATATGAATTTAATACAACGTATATTTAATTAAACGTATACATTTAAATATATTGATGAGATTCAAGAAATAAAAATGGTATCCTGGAAATCCAGGACAACAATTAAAAGCCGTAAGAAAACAAACTGAAACTAATAAGCTAATCCCTATTTCATAGAGTTTCCCATCACTTTATTGAAAAATAAGATTACATTTTAGCTCACCTCATGGAAAATTAGTACAATTGAAATTAAATTCAATCAGTTGTAAATATTCCCTTAAGAAAACTATTTCAGTTTCTACCCAGAGTTTAACCCTTGCCTTATTCAAAAGTTTTCATTCCAGTTCCTTAATTCCAGTATACTTCAATGTGGGTTCAGTGTAATGAAATCACCACTCATAATTTATTAAGCTTTATATTAATAATGTCAATAAAGTAGTCCATATACAAATATATGGAATATTTATCTCTCCCTAACGTTCACTTGTTTCCAAACAGAGATAAACATATGATGGATTGATTCTTAATTGGCATATGTCACATTAAAATTTCAAGTCTTTTAAAGTCTTATGTTTCTATGTAATAACATATATATTTACTTATAAATATTATGGATACTCAGCAGAGAACTTTTAATACCAGATTTGGAAAAAGTTCTGATCACTCTGTGGTAGTTTTTCTCCTAAGTCAAAGTAGAAAATGCCAGAGACATTGCTTTTTAAAAACAAGCACTAAGAAAACTAATTAAACTAGTCAGCCACAAAGGGAACATCATTGTAGGTAAGGAAATAGCTCGGGATAGAACCCTATGATTTTATTGTTTTCACAGAAAATGCAATAACTCCTCATTGACATCAACTACCCAGTTGCAAGAAGAGTGTACTTTCTGCTTTGTTGAGACGCAGACAAAGCAATTAGTAAGTAGCCATCAACTAAGAAGAAAATGAATTTGGAATAAAATTTTTCAGTTTAAATGTCTGTTGAGAGGCTCTGATCTTTGAAAGGCACGTTAAAAAAAAGTTTTTTGATAAAGAACATGCATTCAATAGAATACTTTGAAATCATTCTATCAAACTCAGACTACATAGTCTGTCTCCATTTTTCAAATCACTGATCAAGACAAACAAAAATAGATCATGAAAAACACCACAGCCAGTTTCATACAGTCATAAGTATAGAACTAAAGTAATTAATTGTTCATCAAATTACACATTTTGACAGATAAGTTTATTATAAAGTCTTTAAAATAAAAGTGCATGGTTGGTGAAAAGTTAGTACAGTTGTCATTCATAATTTTGTCATGTTTAAAATATAAAAGTAAAGAATGGGATTATTTTTACCATTGGTAATGTGATATAACTGACTAGCTGGTTTGTAATTCTCATTATTGTAATTATCACAATTCATTGCCATGCCAAAGTTGATGCTGTGATGTAGGTGAAATGGAGTACCATTAGTGTAGCCTATTACATGATATTGTGGTGCACCATGCATCTTTCAAATCTTTTAAAGAAAATTTAATGGCAGGCCAAACTTCTAACCTACTAAGTGCTATGAATCACATAAAACCAGAAAACATTTTGATCCAGGGATACATGGCATATTGTAATTCACGATGGAACTAAAAAACAGGTAGCAGGAAAAAAAAACAAAAAAAACAAAACAAAGAAAGCAGGCCTAGGTATGTATATAATGCATGTAAAAGAAGATTTTTAAAAAGTACAAAATGAAAGTTACGTTATTTTTAAATAACGTGTATTCAACGACTGTTTAATATAAATCCTACAAGTACGATGGGACTATTATTACTATTGAAAAGTAATAACATTGGGCATGATTTGACACTTCTGGAAACAGTGAATTTCAATAACAAAGATGCCATTGGTTTTAGGATGCATTATTATTTTATATATCACTACATAGAAATGCTGCTAATTGTAATTAAAATAGGCCTGATTGCAGGGATGTTAAAATGTGGAAAAACAACCATCTTTGAACTAATGAAACAGAGTAATGCTTCTAATTAATCGGGATCAACTGCTGGCAATAGGAGATTACATGGTATAATCTTTCTCCCAGGAAATTAAAAGCTCCGTTGCCTGATGCTTTCCAATGAGAGAACAACAACCAAATATCGGCATCAACTACACTTAAAATGTGTTATCAAAAAGGAAAAGGGGAAATATTTTGGAGAGTTCAACTCATAAATACAAAAAATATTAGGAAAAGGAAGGCAGTTTGTAAACAGGTAAGTGCTTTAAAATAGTCATTATTGTCACTAATATTAAAGAAGAGAATACTTAACACAATTTACATTTCACTTATTGCCAACCTTTTAAAATTTCTGCATTTTTACCCATTGACTTCGAATTAAAACAACTGAACAGTTGATCTGGAGTGAAAGAAAAACATTGATTCTGGTTTGTTGCTTTATGTAAGTGATTCAGAACCCACTTGAGTTATGTATTTTAATTCGTTATCATATAAGTAAATCTGATTGCTTTGCAGTTCTTCTCGGGACCCGTTTGTCCTCGGCACTTATCTGCAATTTCTCAAATATTTAACCAATATTACTGTTTGAAGTACCAGCCAGTTCTCACTAACTTCTGAAGCCTTGTATATTCTTACTGTGTGAAAAATTATAGAAAGACTTCAGTATTTTATGAATGTTTAATGGTAGGATTGAATCTTTTGCTTACAATCATTTCTTTGTCCAGGGTAACTTAGGATAAAAGAAATCTTAATTATTTTCTCGGAAAGGACACATATATATCCAAATATTCTGAACGTAGCTTTTTTGGGGGGTTTTGTTTTTTGGAAAAGCCTCGTTCAAATAAAATTAAAGATCAAGGAAAGAAGGTGGCAATGAGTTAAGCCTCTCTTTTGATCTAGAACATTTTTATTGATATTATCAGAAATGAGTGTGCAGAAAATCAATTTAAAAAGATGATCCACTACTATGGGATAGTGGAGAGAAGTGGTTAGTTGCCACACAAATAGGAAGTCAGGATGAAGGTAGATTTAGCAAATATTAAGCTAAGTGCCTCAAATATTGTTTACTTAAATCTCTTTGGTTTGATAGGATAAATGGGTGATTGTAATTTTGAAAAGTTTTCAATATGCTTGACTTATTCAGGTAAGTTATAAAATTTATTTGTTTACTCTGTTTAAATTTAAAGAACTTGGTTTAGCTCAATTCTATCACTACCTGGATATTCAGTCTGGTTCCTTCTTCAGCTACGAAAATAAACATTAAATTCCAAGTTCCTATTTGTTTCATATGTTACTTTCCAAAGTTTGACTTTTTTTTTTAAACATGTATTACAAGTAAGAGAGAGTGCATCAGGGAGTTTCTATTAAAATTTCTTCCTATAGACATTAAAGTATATGAAGCACTGAAGATTTATCCCATAATTGATAAATTGTATAACTAGTCTCATTTTGGTTGTAAGTGAACACTGTTCAACAAACACACATACCGCTTTTCATACCTTACCTGGAAAGAGGCTTTATTGAACATAGCTGTAAAATTACCTTTTAAGTTGAATTACTGAATTTGCACAAACATTTCTACAGAATTTTTAAAAAAAATCAAGCTCTGTCATTTTCTACTACATTTTGTTGTGCTTTTTATATTAATATTTGCAAATGTTATAATTTAATACTTATATCCCAATTACTTGCATAATCAGTTTTTTTTAATCCTGGGGTGTTGAAAGAACATATAATAATAATAATATTCTTCTTTAGACAAAAGTCTTGTTAAATGAAGTTAAAAGCTGAGATAATTTAAGGAAAAAGGTCTTCAAATTTCATAACCAACAGGTTTAAGTGAAATTTACAATGCATTGGAAAACTGGCTGGTTAAAGGTATGATTTGTCCTCAGGTAGCTCAAAATCATTTTTACAGGTTTTTGTTTTTTTTGTAAAAGTGTTTTTTAATCTTGGTAAAATAATAAAATAATATTTCACAATTTGCACAGAGTCTGACTAAAGGGCAGAGGCATATTCCCCTCAGTGTTTAGAATAAAGCCAGATTTTTCAGGCCCAGTTCCGCTGTAGAGTTTGTATGCACTGCAGTCAAACACATTTTCTTGTTCCCTCTAAAGCTAGGGCCAATTTCATTTCAAATGGAGGTTAGAGTGAAAAATCATTCTTCTGTTTTACCACCTTCTGCGCTAAGTATATCTTAACAACCTTTTGCTCTGGTTGACCCATTTAATAACCTGGAAGAATAAAAGTGTCGCTCCCATGTCTGGTCTCAATGGAAGTTATTTTCTAATGGACAATAAGCCGAAAGGCCATGGCTGTCTAGGAGGTCAAACAACAAATATCTCGTCTGCATGGGCTTACGCAGCAGCTTCGGTCCTTTCTTCTTCAGAAGCGGCTTTGTTGTCTTGCCTGTAATTTGCACATTTAGGCTCTGTAGTTTGTTTATAAAATAGTTTTACACAAACCACTCTTAGCAGTGCAAGCTTCTGAGTTGAAAATTATTCAGGCTTGTTTCATTGAAGGCACTTGGTTTCCATGGCAATTTATAAAAGATGGTGGTTTGGTTTCTTCGTTGGAACAGGTGACTTAGTTTGGGTGTTCGAGTGGCCGCAAGCAAACTCCGATAAGCCTGTGTAATATGTAAGCCCAGGTATACCATCCTGGATAGCAGTGCATGCAAAAAGAGAGCATACAGTTATCTAGCTTAGCCGTGGGAGGAAAACAAATAATAATAATGAAGGCAGGGTGGGGATAAGGTGGGGAGGACCATGAGTGTTTTAAATAATTCTGAGTTCGGGTTATTGTCAAGGAAGGGTAACAACCAAAGGTAAAAGGGCCTACATTTATTTAATTCTCTATGCAAAACCTTCTCGAAAGGAAAATAAATGCCAGCTCTTCACGTACCCTGTTTACAGTGAGGTTTTTGTTGGCAGGCCATTAGGTTTCCATGGTAACAAGCAAACTATTCATTTGAAACAAAACCAGCCATGACTTTGTGCTTTGACAAGGATTTCTATAGCTCTTTTTTTTTTTTTCCTCGAGTTCAACCAGATGACCAGATGACGCTGTAATCTTTTTAGCCACAAAAGCACCTGAAGGTCTCTTCTCTACTCAGGTCAAGATTTTCTTTTCTATGTAGTGCGGAATAAGTTATACTTCCATGATGTCTTTTTATCCCCAGTGCTTAAAAAAATTTGTTTTTATTATTTTATTTTTGAGTCAGTAGTCAGTGGAGGAATCTTTGGTAGTTTGTTTTTTCAGTGTCCATTTACAAAGACTCTTTCTTCATGCCAGTGCCTGGTGAATCTTTTATAGCCTCTGCCAGGGTAAGGTCACCTTCGAGGACTTAAAATAGAGATGAGGACGATAACTGGAAAAAGCCATATATGTACTAAAATTCCAACAGCACCATCGACAGAATCTAAAGACAAGAAAGTGAATGCCAAGGGAAGGAAAAAAAGGGAGAATAAGTATTCCATGCAACTACCAATACAACTTTGGTGAACTAATAAAACAATTTTAGTATATGGAAGACATTTTTGGAAAACATTTGTTTTTTGGTTTGTTTTCTTTATCAACTTCATTTCCAAGACAAGTGAAAAGAAAAATAACTTGAAGATATGGTGATGTATTTGATAAAATTAATATATCATCTGCAGATTTTTAAACTGATGTAATATGCTATGAAAACTTGTTCAGAAGATACTTACGTGAGTTGGTGTCTAACCTCAACCTCAGAGTTCTGCTAGTCACATGAAGGCATGCACACAGAGAAAATTCTCAGAAATCTAGAAGTTTAGCTTCTTTTACTTTTTAAAAATTTTTCTTAAGCTTTCAGAAATGTTCAAGCTTAAAGACCACCAAGAGAAAAACTCTTTATGAAAACTAGGAAAGGATTGTTATGTGTAGAGAAATTAACTGCTGCAAACAGAGGGTTATATATGTTTAGATCAGTCAATTATCTTTAAATTGGGTAAACAGTTTTCTCCATAGTGTAATTTTTGGAAGTGCTATGAAGTCCATTCTAACTAAAAAATCTCTTCTACCAATCTGCCTTACGATTCCTACTACAGCTGGTACTTCCAGTGAAGCTTCATGTCCAGATGCTACCTCCTAGAACATATAGCTTACCGAGGAGGGCTAATAACACAGGCAAGCCAGTAATTCCTTACCCTGGCTTAAATTACAAAGTGGCTCTCAACTAGGACTGAGCTGGGTTTTGAAAATAAGAGACAAACAATTCTCAGCTTTGGTAGTGTGGGCATGAGTACCACATTTACTGCCTGAAAAGGACTGGGAGCCTGAGCAGTTAGGATGAGGCTTCTGGCCTCCAAGATGGTTTGTACTTAGACATTAACATAAGTTTAATATTCATCAAACACTACTCATCAAAACGAACTTAATAAATGACAGTTAAATACATACAACTGTAACACAATACTTTCTCATACCAACGAAAATATTGTGTTCAATTAGAGTTACTTGTTTCCTGTGATTTCCAGAGGCTAAATAAAAATACCTCCAATAAGTATAGATATATAGTATTTAAAACAGCCACATGGTTTTCTGGATTTAGTAGTTTAAGAGAAGAAAACTGATTATGAAACTGTTCTACTGTGTAATAATAAAGTGCCTAAGGGTTTTCACAGTCATTTTACTGTGACTACTCTTACCATTCTGCTTTCTCCCTTTCTTGGGAGTAAATTATGTTCTCTTGCTTTTCTCATTTTGAAAGTTTAATTCAATTTGTAATAGTTTTCAGTGATTTAATTGTCAAAATGTAACACTGGTGTATAAGACAGTGACTATCTTCAGCTAACATAATGTTACTGTCACTAATTCACATTGGGAAATTCAAAAGAAATCCCTTTCTCCTCTAAGGAGAATGCATGTTTTTCTGTGCATGAGACAAGCCTACTTCATTTGGGTGTAGCTACTGGTTTTCTAAAGCAACATTAGCCAGACACAGGAGGATATTTTTCCTAAATGTGTTACTTGAAACGCTAAGTGTAATGACAACAAGGTGAAAATTATGAGCAAAATGGCTCATTGTTATACACAATCTTGGTTTTTGTCTTCTAACAATGTTAAAAAATGGTATCAATTTTGTTCGTACAAGCAATCACTGGGTAGTTGAACAGATTTGAGTTTCAGCATCCAGACTAATACAATTTCTCACTAAAAATACTGAATTACAAAGACTCTGATTTGCTCTAGACTTACTATACACAATGGATTTTCATGCTCTTTTTATAAGTGATAAATAATTGATGAGTCTTTTGTGTAAATTTAGTTTGATTGATACATCTTTCTATGACCACAAAATTAAAGATTCCAGATGGGCCTATGAAAGTCCTTCAACTGGAAGAATTTTTCATGGGAATGATTTTAGATTTCTTACCTTCACCTGAATAATATAGTGAGGATTTTAAGAAGCCCATCATATAATTCTGATGATTTCTGCATTACTTATAATTTTTTTTATCTATACCCCTCTTCTATTAAAAAATGGATTTGTGGTGGAAAAAATGCAATGTGAAGATATCATTAAACCATAATATTCACACTGGAATAAAAAGTGAAACCAAATTATTAAACAAGATTGTGATGCAGGTAAAAGGAAATTAATTATACCAGAAAAAAAAATTAGGCTGCTCCATTACTTAACATATATGCTAAACTAAGACTTTTCACAATATAGGATCTATTAAAATGGTTGGCAGAAATTAGACCTAGGAAACACAGTCATAAACTTGGGAGAATAAAAACAGCTATAGCTCTATAAATGTGTGCTGAGTATATAAATTAGCCAAAATTTTTTTAACACTACATTAAAAAATATATTTTTATTGAAGTATAGTCAGTTTACAATATTGTGTCCAAATATTTTAATAAAGTAAAAAATAATCCACTGAAATTAACAATATAAATTTAAAATATTTTAAAATCTTAATTAAAAATCAAAGTGTGCTTGCTTTACATAGACCTAAATCAAAATTACTTTTTTTAAATCTTAGGTCAAATAACTAAGGTCAAATGCCTACTATCAAACTTAATACTTTGATTTTAAAATATATTCAAAATGTTAGGGTCTCATGCATATGAGAAATTTCTAAATAAACAAACTAAAAATAAATTAGTTTTAAAAATTAGACCACATTAGTTTAATAGTCATTACATTAAACTCACATCAAACCAATCCAAGAAGAGACACTTACTCTTAGTCGTTAAGTCTTGTTTTGCACATTCTCCTTCTGCAATTGACACATCATCAATGGCAATGTCACCTTCTATGCCAGGACCTCGAATACCTTCAAAAATGAGCTACAAATATGAATGAAACAAACCTAAATGTAGAGCTTTGACTTGCAGATTAATTTTTATAGAGACTGAGGAGCCAAACCTAAAATTGACAATAATCCTGGCATCATTTATTATTGACAGTCTTCAGAACTGTTACCTACAAAAAACATAAACTCTCTTAACAAAACCAATAATAGGATTTTTTATAGTTTTCCACATCAGAAGCTCTGTGTTGATTTTAAAACAAAACTAAGCCTAATTGTATAATAACAATAAAAACAACCACAATTACAAATGCTATCACTTTTTGTTTTCAATATAAGGAAACTTTTTTCTCTGAAATATTTGCCTGCAATAGATTCCCTCCAAAGTTCTCTAAACAGATCTCATAACACTGGTTTTCTAGAAATATTTTAGGGAATGAATCAGTTCTGGGATCTTTGCAACAGTATTATGTTTATTGAAGCCCAGAACAAGGATTTACCATCTCTGTGAAATTGTTTGATCTCTTGCAAATACAGTGAATAAATTTATCACATATTCCCCCTATGCTATGATTTACATCTATGATTTCACTTTTGGCATTTTATTTTTAAACATTGAAGATATTTCTGGGTTTACTTATGTTGAGTGTCTTGAGGCAGACCTTTGAATTTCCAATATCTAAAACAGTGTTTGACACTAAGGCTTAATACATTAGTGTTGAAAGAATAGATAAATGAAATCAATCTCCATTTATTATCTATTATTAAATTCTGGATACAAGGGCAATATAAAGACAATTAGCAAGTTTAAGTTTCATTTTTGCAGAAATAAGACTCTTCTAAAATTTTCTGACTCGCCACACAATTATTCTTTGCTTGTAGTAAAACTTTTTAATCCTTTTGATACTAAAAAGTAACCTATGCATTTAGTCATTATATTCCCAGAAAATTTTCTACATACCAAATGAAATACCTAGTTTGGTCTTCCCAAAGAAAAGGTAGCTTAATAAAGAGCTGTTTTCAACATCAAGCTAATATGTGCACTTTAATACAATTTCTAGTTTTATTTTATTGCAACAAATTAGTGTAAAAGTTTACTTTTATCAATGCCAAAATTTTTGTTTGTTTTTGTCATGTCTTTTATTAAAGTATCTGACTATGACTCCTTAAAGACAATTTTGTGGTGACTGTCAGAGAATTTAGGCTACCTTTGTGAAGCGGATCCAGTGTTCTCTGATACACTACCCTAATTTAATCAATTGAAATCTCTACATAGGAGAGTAGAGGCATTAGTTACCAACTTTTGCATTGAGTCCTTTTCCCAACTTAAATATAGTCCTTAGGAATAAGAATAATTTTCATTATTTGATAAGAGAAAAAGGTTTGAGAAACGCTTATTATTATATTTAATTTGTTGTAGAGGGTTTCCTGCTTACCTGTGTTGAGATAAGTATGTTAATAGTCTCCAAATCCATTTCTTTGAAAAGTATCCAGTATGTCTTATATCACTGAAGCCAAAATTAAATGGCAGGCCAGAGTTAAAACATTTAGAACCAAGTTGGCAGAATATGAATTCTCAATCCTCAGGCTCAGCACTGAGGCGTCATTTTGGCTGCCTGTAAATAACAACTTGGATTTGACTTAAGGTGGTGTTTGGGAAGGTATCTGGGTAGCGGCTAAAAAGCTCTCCGAGGCCTATTTAAATTACAAGAGAGAGGATTTTTAAAAAATCAACAGTGTAAAAATTTAAAAGCACTGAATATGGAAAAGGAGAAGTCACTTTAATGCTGCAGAATATTCCATGTTATGGAAACAAGGTAATTTATTTAACTAGTACTATTGTTAGATATTAAAATTATTTTCAGCTATTCTTAACAAGGCTGAGATGAATACATTTCATATAACTATTATACACAATTATGTGGAGCACATAGTTCTTTTAAGGTCACCACCAATTGCTCCTATTAGCACTCTAGCTGTGAGAAGACATTGCCTTCTCCTAACCGTGGGTTTTTAAGTATTTTGGGTTTTTCCTTTCTTTGATATGTGCTGCTTACCTGGTAGAGAATCAATGTTAAGAGTAAATCAATGGTTATTCCCACCCCCTTCTTAGTTTCAGTCATGTGATGCTGAGTCTTCTCTCCTGAAGATAACAACATGAATGGAATGTTATCTTGGAGAAAGTCAGAACTCAAAGAGTCATGCTGATATGAGTCTGATTCCATAAAATCAAGTATTTTCCACATTGCCCACAAGACTAATACTTTATTGAAGAAAAGTGGGGCGCTGTCATCACAAGTTTTTTTTTATGCAGGTATTTTAAAGGACTAAATGGAAGAAAATGTAGATACCTGCCTCCCAGTCAAGTTTTGATTCTGGAGTGAAGCAGGAAGAAGAATGTATTAGTCAGGAAAATTTTGGTGTGGTAAAGCAGAAAGTTCCTCAGCCACCTAGGGTTTTAATTTTAAAAGATAGAGTGGAAAGAGAAAGAGAGCAGACATGGCATGTACAGTAGGATACAGGGATTGCAACGTAGCTATGGCAAAGCTAAGGGGACTGCACTCCAGTATGATCTGTGTGGGAAGTGAGATGTTGCTGAAAAGGCTAATAAAGGTAGATTAGAATGTTCTGCACCTGCTCACACTTGAAATTTAAACAGATGAAGGTGAAGTCATAATCCTTGCATTGGGAAGGATGCTGGAAACACAGGCTTGAGACATGGGTTTTTCCATCTTAGCTATGTAGAAGTGAGTAGATAATAAAGTTGCCCAGTTTTTCATATTAAAATACACAATTATTTTCACTTACTAAGTTCCCGTTACCTGGAGGTAGGTGTCAATATAAAGTAATGGAATTATTTTTTAAAAATCAAAATTACAATGTATAAATCATCAAAATCATCCCTGAACTTTTCAAAGCTACTTTCCCTGGAATGATTCCCGCCATTGCTCAAAGCATTTCAAAACTTCTGTTACTGACTTTAAAGTATTAAATACTCCTACTTCTCCTATGAATTTTCTTTTTCTTCCCTTCTTTCTCCCTGTGCAGCTTGATCAAAAACACAAGGTTGAACCTAGGCTTGCGCTAAAAACAAAAGTCCGAAAGCAGAGAGGTTGTGAAGGATGCAGCCATCCTTTTTCTGTGGTCAGATTGAGAGGGGACGTTGGGGAGCTTTTTGTGGTAAACATCAGAGAGCACACTGACAGATGTCATTTAATACGTGTACTGCCTGCCCACTGGCCATGGGTTGACTGTGTGTCGTTGGCTGAACAGCAGAAATACAAATCAACAAAAGTTGAAATGTCTTATTTCCAGAGGGCTACCTCAGTCTAGAACATTATTTTATATGAGTCCTTTATTCCTTGGGGATCCTGAATGAATTAAGTGTTACAGTAATAAAAGCTGGCTGACTTGAAAATATATTATTTACATTTATCAGCACACCTATAGATAATACAGTCTGTCACTGAATAAAGGAAGTTGATTTCTTTCCATGCAGCATAGTAGTGTTTTAGTGACCATGTGGAGGTAATTAAGAGAATTAGTAGTAGTTATTACTGGGATGATAAAAGTAACTTCTGACAATCAAATTCTTGGTACAGTTATAATTGGTGCTTTTAATATTTGTTAGCGGTTTTGTTCTGATCGTAGGGAATGCAATCCAATAGGCTAGAGAAATACTGTTGTCTTCCTCAGGGTGCTATCTGAACATGAAGAAAGCAAAAGGTACCGTGCAGTGTGTTTGTTTCCTTTCAGTTTCCATAGCAGTTTTGCTATTAAGAACATATTTGCTATTAAGAATCATTTTTTTAAAACTGATTTGACTCTCACAAAGAAATATTTATTGCATTGTTCTGTTTATGCTCTGAACTCTCACTACAATGCCACCTGAATTATAATAATACAATTTAATAAGTTCTAACAGAGTTGTAAATGGCTTCTAGACTAAGATTGAGAAGGATATTTTCTCCTTCATATTGTTTTTCATTTTGAGGTAGATAAGAGAAATAAAATGCATAGGTATTAAATTAAATAATGTACACTGGCCGAACTTTCAACTGCTTTTAAAAATAAAGCCCTTATGACAAATATCTTTTTTCTCAAATATAAAGATGAGAAATTTTAACAGTCCATTATAATATGATGTATCTCAACTTGGAAGATGTGATCTGTACGCAGTGAAGAAAATCTGAATTACAATCACTTAGAGAAGACATACTCTCTAGCTTAGTAGGTTAAATTATGTCCTTTTTATGAAGTAGCATCATGCTTCTGACTACTATTACATTACAAGGATAAGACTATGTTCTTTTTCCTCTTCAATACTTTTGAAATGCATTTGGTTTAATTGCCTTGAAGAAGGAATTAATGGCATGTAGATTCTGGGGGAGAAAATGTTGAAGCTTAGGTCTCTTAAAAGAGGGTTCAAATTAAGCAAAACCTGTTCTTCACACACAGTCATGCTGGTCTTATTTAAAATAGTTTTCCTTAACTGAAATGACAAGTTTAAAATTTTAGTGTTTTCACAATGTGTACATGCAATTCAGCAAACTTAATACGCAAGAAATACTGTATAATCAGAAAATTAATTCCTGGTGGGTAAATTCAAGTGGGAGTTCAAAAAATGTATATAAAATTTCTGTATCAGAATTATACCACACAAAATCATTTAATTCATCAATTGTCTATTACCTACATTTATTATAATGTTTTAAAGCATATAGATATAGATGCCAACATAGAGATACAGATGGTGCTATTAAAGCTTTTGTTTAGATATAATTTCTCAGGAAGGGAGGAAGAGCTACATGCAGCACTAATGAGTAAAACTGGACGGGAAGTCGGATTCTGCTCTTCTGATGATCTGACTTCAACATTAATGGTGCCTTCTGCAAACGTTTTTCCTGTGACTAGAGATATATCGCTTCTAATCATTACTGCTAAGGCAAACTCAAAGCTTCAGAATGCTATCTGAAAACTGACAGTGTACATGACTTGGAAAAACTTCAGGATGTGAATAAATTTAAAAATAGCTAT